GCCATCAGAAAGGAAACCATCTCTTTCAGAGACAATGCTGATTTACTGGTACCAATAAGTATTTACTTTAGTGCCCTTCTAAAAAAAAATTTGTTAACAGATTTAAATTATAGGATTAACTAATACTAACACTTTTTTAAAAATAGAGACTGAATCAGTTTCAACCAGTAATCCTTTGACCTTTCTTTGGGGAAAAAAAAATATGAGAACATTGAACATTGATCATGATTGCACCAGAAACTTGATAAAATATTTCAAAATGAAAGTTACATTTAACTATGTGCCACGAAATATATTCATAGAGAAATCATATGCAGTAAATGCTGTTCTCAGTGAAAGAAACTAGAAGTCCAAAACTGCTTAATCACTTTAGGATATATTAATTATTCTTCAGGTGCTGGTAACCTTTCTCTGTCCTTCCTAACCATACCACATAAGCAAAAAGAGGTTGATTAGTAGAAAATTGCCTTACTTTCACATTCTGTTGAATATAAGAGAGATTTTCACTTTGAGGGAACATCAGAGAGCCATTGTATATGTGGGTTTCCACAAGCTAGAGATCTGATTCATCCTGTGCTTCAGTCACCACAAGGAAGAATCTGACAGACTTGAATGCAATGAAGGCAAGACTCTTTTTAGCTATAACTTAGATACACAGCTGCTCAGTTAAACTTGCTAAAGCAATTAGCATAGCCCATAGCCCCGGAATTTCACAGGAAAAGGGTGATTGTTGGGGGTTTTTCCATGTTAAATATTTGGTCAGGGCGTTGCACATAGTTGTAAGAACACATTCCTGTGCATTTCTTGCACGGTGACTTCCTCTGTATACATCTCTGAAATTCAATCTGTAATGCAGTAATATAATTTAGGTGAGATTCCTTTAATAATCCTGCATATATTTAGCTATATAGATATATACACATATATGTCTATGGTTTATTATCAATGTAGTTCTACAGAATTCTCCCTATCATCTAATTGCACTTATTTCCTGGGCTGCTGATGCCTGATTGACTTCTTTAGTGCGTTTCAGTAGATATAACATGAAGCACTTCCCAGTGCAATTTGTCTTCACAGAGATACCATCAGAGCTTCATTGAGAGTGAAGCAGGGTTTAGAACCTGGTGTTAGTAGCTGAAACTAACCTACTATATTTTCTGAAAGCTTACAATAAAATAGCACTTCTGTGAAAAGTAGCCCAAAATGTCCAGGGATGGATGTACAATACAGAACTAGTGTAATCTCTCCTATAAATCTCATTAAATAATGAAACTGAGTTTCTGACAGCTGGGAATTGACTTGGTCCCACAGAAAACAAAGTCCTATCAATGATTTCATGAAGAACAAGACCAAACTTTAAATGAGGAAAACCTGTAGCTTATAGACATAATGCAGGACAAGCACTGAGCCCTCTTTGGAGTTTCTGAGTGTTTCTGACTTCTGTAGCATAAAACAAACTAAAATCAGTCTCACCACTTCCATGATTCATTCATCTCAGTTGATCTCTTTGTTCTTCAGATTTTCCTTAAGTAAGATGAAAATCATTATATTTCTTGAAAGTAAAGTCTCTAAAACTGAACTATTTATGGTAACAGTCGATTCAGCTTCCCCATGTAAAAATGTAGCTAGTTTTCATTATTAAAAAAAAAAAAAAATCCTATTTAAAAAAAAATCTTTTTACAGAATCTCATTGCAACTTTTATATACTTGGTGACATGGTTCAAAACCCATATCTAAACAGCTTTGTAAATTCACACAGGTTTAAGAAGCACAAGATCAAGCCTATGCAAAAACTAAATATTAAAATTCCTCAGAACCAATGGTGTATTAAATTGTATCGCGGTTTTCCATGAAAGCTTAGTGAACATATTTTTTATGGTTGCACATATGATAACATACAAGATTGCCTACCAGTACAAAACAGGGTATACAATGAATAAACCAAACGTGAATTCAATTTTCATATTTAATGTCTGATTCTTTCATAGATGTCAATGGCAAGACTAATTAATTTCATCAAGGCAGTAGCAAGACCTAAGTGGCCAGTAATGTTCATGTTCATGCTCACTCACTTCTGTTAACACATTTTTACATTGCCGTGACAATTTTAAAACATTTATTCTGTAAATGGGTAGTCAGCTTTCATGCAAACAGTCCATTAGCATTAATCATATTACTCTCACATGATACATTGACAAAAAAAAGTGTTTGCAATGTTTCTCTTGTCCATGACGAATAAGTAGTTGAAGAACTGAAAAATAACAACTGAAAAGAAAGATAGGAACAACTGCTCTTGACACTATTTCATTTCTCTTCTGAAACATGAAAAGACATATTCTATTTGGTGTAAGTATGGAGGATGGCATTTCTGTTGATCAAAAAATGAATCTTTGCCTACTTTATCACTGATCCTGTTGTGTAAATTAACATTTGTATTTCTTTATGTATTTCTTTTAGGAAAATTCTAAAGAATCCCAACTTACCAGAGTAAAAAAATGTGCAACTGCATAAAATAATTGAATGAACTGAGTCACTGGCATTGACTATTACAAACAAACCCTTTCTTGGTGTTACCTAAAGAATTCTAAGGTATTAAAACCTCACAGCTTTCAAGGCATGCACCTTCACTAGAGTTTGACAAAACACTGCTATGCAGCCACTGGAAATAATTTGTATTAGGGCTTCTGCCTAGCAGGAAATTATGCTGAACCTGAACAAAAGCCCAGTGAATTCAGTATGAGTTTTTTTCCTTCGACTTTAATTGGCACTGGATCAAGCCCTTTGTACACAATCTCTTATTTCTTTAACATTAAAACAATGCCTATGACTGTCAAACAACATTTTTCCCTTCAATATCTATCCAAAAGGAGATTTTGCAAACCGTCCAAGGATTCTGAAAATCAGTCTTGGATTTCTGTGTCAAATAATACTCTTCAGGAGCTTGTTTTATTGCAGATGGAGATTTTTAGCTGCCATGTTGTCTTTCTAAAAATAACATGCAGTTTTCCAGTGAGCATGCAGTCAACTAGCAATATCAGTGTGCATTTATATCGCAAAGAATCATTTGAGAAATCCATCTTTATAGGTTTCTATAATCCAACTGGAAAAACTGTTCATTTTATACATAAGGAAAAATATTTTTTAAATCTTTAAAAACATAACACATCCCAAAGTCTTTTTATGTTTCACAGTGGAAGAAAAAAAGACCACAGATGAAAGTGATAAAAAATACACTATCTAAGAATTAATTGACCTTTTTTTAAGTGACAATGCTGGCAAACCACAAGAATGAAACGTTAAGGTATTAACTGTAAGCCAAGAGGAAAATATTTATATACATTATTTCCTAGCCAAAATACAATACAATCCATTTTTAGGCTTGAAATAAAATACAGTCAAAAGGCCATTGTGACTCTGAGCCCCTGTCTCCTTCTTATGTTATAAAGTATTCGCAAATTTTCCAGCAACATCTTATCCCTTTTCTTTAAAGGGCAGATACTATTTAGCTAGGAATGCATTTGTATGATTTTTCAGTCCTGATCCAACTCCTACTGTTTCCAGTGGGATATTTTCTGTTTAATTTGGTGGGAATTAAACAAGGCCCCTAAGAAAAACTTAGTATCCTATATTAAAATGGCTGCTGTTAACAGAGATTTATTTGTGACCGCCTCAGTGGCTTACCAGTAAGTTGGTGAGACACAAAGAGTGTATTTCTTGAACCAGCTGTAAGGCAGAGAAGCTGAGGTTACTGTTTATAGATTCCCTGACAAAAAGCTGCAATTGTTTCATTAATAGGTAAATGTACTCTGGCTCTTCCCAGAGTGACCTTGGGAGCCAACTGTGTTGCCCTGAGCATCAGCAGAAAGAAGGCTGTTGGTGTCAGTGGGTTTTGGATCAGGCTTTAAAGACAGAGAAAGCTTACTTAAGGAGGAAAACAGACATAACAAATAGTCCTGATTTCCCAGGTTTTGTCACTTGGAGTTTAGAACATCAACAAGACACTTTAAACCCTGAAAGAATAATTGTTGTGAGTCAATTATTTTGACCCTATATGTTTCTACAATTGTATAAGATAATAAAGAACAAATTTCTCTGGCTTACAAAACAAAGGCAAGTACTTTATTTATCAACAGAGAGTTTAGTAGCTGCTTTTTACACCATTGCAATGACCAAACAAATAGCATAAAATAAACAAAGGAGAGTATAAAATGACTTTATTCCAGCTGGTATCCCGAGACAACATTTTGACTAAGTACAGAGTTAGATGTTTCAAGTATGGCACTTATATAAATAAGAGCTGAGAGAAGTTGATATATTCACAGTTAAAAGCAATGAACTCTGTTCCTTTGGTATGTGTGTCCTCACAGGTAACTGTAGGTAAATACATCACTTGTCTGGCATGAACCAACTCCATTTTATTCATGCACATATTAGGGAATGAACTGAAATGTACGGATATATTTTGCAGATCACAACTAATATGATTAAGGTTTCTGGTGTGTGTGTGTGTGGACGGGCAAACAAAAAAAAGGGCAAAATTATATTCAGCATTTATTGTTTAACATAATTAATTGATGCACAAGCTATGACCAAAAATAGCTCTTAATACACACCAGGAATAAACTCTGTGATTTAGACAAGCAAAATAATGTAAGACATGTGTGAGATAGGTGAATGCAGATATCCTGATCGAGCTGTGGTCAGGTTCCTTACAATGCAATTACCCTCTCTTTAAAACATGCTTACATCTGCACATTGCAACAGTTTCCCCCACCCCATCCCACCCCATATAGAGAATCCTTGCAGATTTTTAATATGGACATTCTACACATTTACAACAATTAGTCAGACAGTCCAAACTGTAAACTTATCCTAATGATGACCAAAAAGCCGTTCCACCAACAGGTAACACCCAATCATTAGAAAGAAAAGTAGGAATAATAGTAGCTGTGCTGTAAGGCTAGATCAAGCATGGGTTTATAGCTGTTTTTTCAGTCTTTTACATAGCACTGCGTTTTGCAGCTAGTTCAGTAAGTGCAGATCCAATACCTTAATGGCTTTCTTGGTGGTTTGATAAAATGCTTGCCTAAGCAATGTACCTTTCCCTAATGGTGTCTGGGTCTCTTCCACCTGGCACAGTGTTTCAGTTCTGTCACAGCCTCACACATAAGCTGAGTCACTTGACTGAGTCCTGCCAAAGTTGGGCATGCTCATTCTTGGCAGGTCCTTATTTCTGATTTCGTATATGGATTTCCTTTTTGCCTGTACTCCTCTCACTGCCATTTTGATCTTTCTCCAGCCCAAGTGGTTCAGTTCTGCCAAATTGAGCACCACACAGATCCCACTGACAGCAAACATGAATACCAAGAACACAGTCTTCTCAGTGGGTCTAGAGACATAGCACTCTACTTCTTTAATGCAAGGGTATCTGTCACATTCATACATGGAAGGGACATTGAATCCGTACAGAAAATACTGTCCCACTAAGAATCCAATCTCTAGGGCATTTCGAAAGACCACTTGGATGATATAAAATCGAGAAATGCCTTCTTGCCTCCTCATCTTTGACTTTGTAGTTCTGATAGCGGGATTGGGGATTTCCTTCACTTCTAGGCAGTCTGGTTCTGCCTCTTTGGTGGAGTTCTCGGTGTTCTGCAGCACCCCGTTGACAATCGTGTTCTTGATTTTCTTACTGTCCTCACGCTTCATTGAATCCTGGTCCCTCTCCAAGGTGAGGAAGACAGTGGAGTACCTCCGTTCCCTCTGCTTAGCAGACTGGTGAACGGAGTACGTTATGAAGCAGAGGCTGGGGGTGCACACCATGATGATCTGGAACACCCAGTACCTTATGTGAGAAATAGGGAACGCCTGGTCGTAACACGCCTGGTTGCAGCCTGGCTGCAGCGTGTTGCAGACAAACATGGTCTGCTCGTCATCGTACACCGTCTCCCCTACAATGGCCACGATGAGGATCCTGAAGATCACCACCACGGTCAGCAGGATCCTGCAACAGAG